AGACAAATTATTTAGTGCTGTTAACACCCTTTTGACTGGTGCCGACATACCAACTCACTCCTTTTATGATAATTGGCTGAGCAACAATGCTTACAATCGCATTAAACTTAACATTCCTTTTAAGTGCAATCTACCTGTCTCTGATATTCCTCTTTATCTGTACCCCACCATTCAAGTATCATACACACCTGTCACCAAGAAAGATAATGAGAATCTTGCTCTACTCAAAGCTGTCACTCTTGAAACAATTGCCTCCTCCATCGAGAGTCTAAGATCTCACGAGCACTGTGTCTACACCGACGGCTCAGTCCAGTCTTCTACTGGACGGACTGCAGCGGCATGTAGGTTTTATAGAAATAATATTTGCACAAAGACTGTCAGTGTCAGGTTAAACAACTGGCTGACCTCCACACAAGCAGAACTAGCAGCATTACACCTAGCTACCAGTACATTAAAAAACAGTGGAGGAGGAATAATATTCTGTGATTCAAAGTCTGCTCTTCAAGCAATCGAAAACTTCTCCTGGAAGATCGACAGCAAGAACCTCATACTACCAATTATAAATTATCTAATTGATGCACAGAGTAAAGGGTCTCGAATTTCCTTTGTATGGATATCTTCACACATAAATATAACCCATCATAATGAGACAGACATTGCAGCCAAATTAGCGTGTAACAAGTTTGAAGTTGAATTAGATCTAGGTATCCCATCTCTGCTGTCAAAACTGTATTGGTCCAAACATTCAGATCTGATAGGAAAGAACTTACTGACTCCCAACGACCTGAAAGTACTAGTATAAAAAGCTATGATTTGCTCAGATCTGAAACCTACATCTATGGACAGCACAAAACGTCCACTAGACTGTGCGACACAGTGGTTGCCAGGATCAGGTTGGGTTACCGTTACCTGTGGCAGGTGGCTGCAGGTGACGGGTCTCCCAATCCTGAGCACTCCAGTTGCAAACTCTGTGAGCAGGAACTACGGCATGATCTCCCGCACTACATCACCGAATGCCCAGTTATTAGACCTTTCAGACCAGTTGGCATGAGGTACCTGGAGCTTTGCAATTACTTTATTTACTCTAGTGTTCCTGAGGATATCCTGATACTGCACCCAGAGATTGCTAGTGTAGACTACTGATCACACGGCCCTATATGGCTAACCTTCCTGCCAGATGGGGACTTTTAGCCTCACGTAGTTAGTTCTTGACACACTCTGTACTCCACTTCATATAGTCTAGGACAGCGGCATTAAAGCAGATGTTAATAAATAATAATAATAAAAAAGTCCAGTCATTAGACCCTTCAGACCTGCCGATACGAGGCAACTAGAGCTTTGTAATCCTCTTCCACTTTCGTACTCTTGAGGATATCCTCGTAATCTACCTAGCCTTTGTGCCAGTGCTGCTTGGATGACCAGCCATCCCTCAAGATGGGGTCTTCCATCCTTCAAGATGGGGTCTTCCATCCTTCAAGATGGGGTCTTCGGTATCACAAAGATACAGCTGTTGACACAAACACCGTAGCCCTTCATATTAGTCAAGGGTAGCTTCACAAAAGCGCATTTGCCTAAGTATTTTAATAAAATTGCGCAATTTTGAGAGAGGCCAGAGAGAGGTCGGGGGGGGGGGGAGGGGGAGGGAGATGTGGGGGGGAGAGAGAGAGAGAGAAAGGGGGGGGCGAGCCTCCCCGCCCCCCATCCTCGCCAGGAGGCAATCACGTTAAACCTTGCACCCACAACAGCCATCTCGCTCACCTAACCCGGTAAACTCCGTCACCCGGTAAACTCCGTCACCCGGTACATAGTGCATTCGATAGTGTCTCCAGGAAATACTTCGAGGACAGCATGTTTCCTGAAAGCATCTCATTAGTAATCTCGTAATAGCGTTCCCCGGTACAATGTCTCCTGGTAGCGTTCCCCGGTAAAGTATCCTGCCTCCCGGTATCGTCCACCGGTACGCAGTAAACCAGTAGAGTGCGTCATGTGTCGTCGGCGGCGGAGCGTGAGAAAGCGGTCAGCTCAACCCGTCAAATAAACGTATTATAATGACGAAATATTTAGGGCTGGTCAAGTCAGGATCCTGACCAGTTGTGGCTGACTCACCCGTCAGGCTCCGGGTGTAGGTGCTGACTCACCCGTCAGGCTCCGGGTGTAGGTGCTGACCCATCCGTCAGGCTCCGGGTGTAGGTGCTGACCCATCCATCAGGCTCCGGTGTAGGTGCTGACCCATCCATCAGGCTCCGGGTGTAGGTGCTGACCCATCCATCAGGCTCCGGGTGTAGGTGCTGACTCACCCGTCAGGCTCTGGGTGTAGGTGCTGACCCATCCATCAGGCTCTGGGTGTAGGTGCTGACCCATCCATCAGGCTCGGGTGTAGGTGCTGACCCATCATCAGGCTCCGGGTGTAGGAGCTGACTCACCCGTCAGGCTCCGGGTGTAGGTGCTGACCCATCCATCAGGCTCCGGGTGTAGGTGCTGACTCACCCGTCAGGCTCCGGGTGTAGGTGCTGACCCATCCATCAGGCTCCGGGTGTAGGTGCTGACTCACCCGTCAGGCTCCGGGTGTAGGTGCTGACCCATCCGTCAGGCTCCGGGTGTAGGTGCTGACTCACCCGTCAGGCTCCGGGTGTAGGTGCTGACTCACCCGTCAGGCTCCGGGTGTAGGTGCTGACTCACCCGTCAGGGGTGTAGGAGCTGACTCACCCGTCAGGCTCCGGGTGTAGGTGCTGACTCACCCGTCAGGCTCCGGGTGTAGGTGCTGACCCATCCATCAGGCTCCGGGTGTAGGTGCTGACTCACCCGTCAGGCTCCGGGTGTAGGTGCTGACCCATCCATCAGGCTCCGGGTGTAGGTGCTGACTCACCCGTCAGGCTCCGGGTGTAGGTGCTGACCCATCCATCAGGCTCTGGTGTAGGAGCTGACTCACCCGTCAGGCTCCGGGTGTAGGTGCTGACTCACCCGTCAGGCTCCGGGTGTAGGTGCTGACCCATCCATCAGGCTCCGGGTGTAGGTGCTGACTCACCCGTCAGGCTCCGGGTGTAGGTGCTGACCCATCCATCAGGCTCTGGGTGTAGGAGCTGACTCACCCGTCAGGCTCCGGGTGTAGGAGCTGACTCACCCGTCAGGCTCCGGGTGTAGGTGCTGACCCATCCATCAGGCTCTGGGTGTAGGAGCTGACTCACCCGTCAGGCTCCGGGTGTAGGTGCTGACTCACCCGTCAGGCTATGGGTGTAGGTGCTGACTCACCCGTCAGGCTCCGGGTGTAGGTGCTGACCATCCATCAGGCTCTGGGTGTAGGAGCTGACTCACCCGTCAGGCTCCGGGTGTAGGTGCTGACCCATCCATCAGGCTCCGGGTGTAGGTGCTGACTCACCCGTCAGGCTCCAGGTGTAGGTGCTGACCCATCCATCAGGCTCCGGGTGTAGGTGCTGACCCATCCATCAGGCTCCGGGTGTAGGTGCTGACCCATCCATCAGGCTCCGGGTGTAGGTGCTGACCCATCCATCAGGCTCTGGGTGTAGGAGCTGACTCACCCGTCAGGCTCCGGGTGTAGGTGCTGACTCACCCGTCAGGCTCCGGGTGTAGGTGCTGACCCATCCATCAGGCTCTGGGTGTAGGAGCTGACTCACCCGTCAGGCTCGGGTGTAGGTGCTGACTCACCCGTCAGGCTCCGGGTGTAGGAGCTGACTCACCCGTCAGGCTCCGGGTGTAGGAGCTGACTCACCCGTCAGGCTCCGGGTGTAGGAGCTGACTCACCCGTCAGGCTCCGGGTGTAGGAGCTGACTCACCCGTCAGGCTCCGGGTGTAGGTGCTGACTCACCCGTCAGGCTCCGGGTGTAGGTGCTGACTCACCCGTCAGGCTCCGGGTGTAGGTGCTGACTCACCCGTCAGGCTCCGGGTGTAGGTGCTGACTCACCCGTCAGGCTCTGGGTGTAGGTGCTGACTCATCCGTCAGCCTCCGGGTGTAGGTGCTGACTCACCCGTCAGGCTCTGGGTGTAGGTGCTGACTCACCCGTCAGGCTCCGGGTGTAGGTGCTGACCCATCCATCAGGCTCTGGGTGTAGGTGCTGACTCACCCGTCAGGCTCCGGGTGTAGGTGCTGACTCACCCGTCAGGCTCCGGGTGTAGGTGCTGACCCATCCATCAGGCTCTGGGTGTAGGTGCTGACTCACCCGTCAGGCTCCGGGTGTAGGTGCTGACTCACCCGTCAGGCTCCGGGTGTAGGTGCTGACTCACCCGTCAGGCTCCGGGTGTAGGTGCTGACTCACCCGTCAGGCTCCGGGTGTAGGTGCTGACCCATCCATCAGGCTCTGGGTGTAGGTGCTGACTCACCCGTCAGGCTCCGGGTGTAGGTGCTGACTCACCCGTCAGGCTCCGGGTGTAGGTGCTGACTCACCCGTCAGGCTCCGGGTGTAGGTGCTGACTCACCCGTCAGGCTCCGGGTGTAGGTGCTGACTCACCCGTCAGGCTCCGGGTGTAGGTGCTAGTGGTGGTTGTTGGAAGGGGTTTGATGGTGATAGTTGTTGTGGTGGTTGTGATTATGGCGGCTGTGGTGGTGGTGGTGGTGGTCGGGAGAGGGCGGCGTGGGAACACCTCTCCCACACACCCACCATGCCTACTCCCGGAAGGGAGGGAACAAACATAACATATTATAGTCTCTTCATTATGGTGTGAAGCGCAGACCATGTCGCTATACATGGTCCTACAGCGACAGACCCAGACCGACACTATTTTGTCGTCGTAAATTCTAAGAGGATTTAAAAAGAGCAAAAAAAGAAAAAAAAGGCAGTAAGTCATGCGTGTCGAGACCTGAAGATAATAATCCCGGCGCACTTCTTCGACAGGGTCAGTAGAGCCTCCTACACGCCCAGCTGCCAGTCACTAGGCTCCTACATGAACTCCCGCCTTCTTCTGTCCACCAATCACGGTCGTCGTTTCAGTATCGCTCCGCCCACTTGGAGGCAGAGCCAGTAGCGCCGCGCCCCACCGCGTCTCGGCAGCCAATGGTCAGCCTCCTGTGCCCCCGGCCAGACGCTCGCGTATATAAACTCGACCGGTCCCGCGCAGCCGTCAGACCCACTACCTCAGAAATATGGAGCGTACGTCAGTGTTAGCGGCGCGGCCCGACTCTTCTACCCTCGGTGCAAAATACTCGCCAGGAACCCTGGGATCAGCCTTTACTCCGTTATCCCGTGTGCCACCAGCCTTCCCTCTGTTCCAGTCATTACCATTTTTGCCTCATGTGCCACCTTCGAGTGCCAAGCAACAAGCTCCTCTTGGTCTTGAATCGAGACTAATGGGGATGCTGCAGAGTTATGGATCTATGCCACTGGGTCAGCTGCCGTGGGCGGCTCTGGGCGCCGGCGACCTGGCACTCAACCGTCTCCTGTTGACTCCTGGGGGACGCCTCAGCCGACCCAAGAAGCGATACATCTGCAAGTATTGTCAACGGGAGTTTACCAAGAGCTACAACCTGCTGATCCACGAGAGAACACACACGGACGAGCGGCCCTTCCCTTGCGACATCTGCGGCAAGGCCTTCAGGAGACAAGACCACCTCCGCGACCACAAGTACATCCACAGCAAGGACAAGCCCTTCAAGTGTGAAGTGTGTGGCAAGGGCTTCTGCCAGGCGCGCACGCTGGCCGTCCACAAGGCCCAGCACGCCCACGACGCGCCCCCCACGCCCATGCCCGCCCTTACCTCCCTACCTCGCACCACGCCCTCCCTGCCCACCTGCCACGCCCCTGACGCGGACGAGGTGGTTGACGTGCTTCACTGTGACGACGATGACGACGTGGTGGAAGACGACGTGATGCAGACGCTGACGGAGGAGGAGGAGCTGCCTGTAGTAGCAGTAGTGACGCCGCCCAAGAGACTCGGCTTCTCCATCGCTGACATTATGAGCAGATAGGCAGTGTCTCCCCACTCTCACCCTCACCCTCACCCCAGTGCCATTCCAACACCCAACAAGCTTTAATTACTATGTACAATTTGCTGCATATTGTGGCTCCTTTATGTTGAATATTATTGTGTTTTAAGTTTGTAAGAATTTTGTTTATTAAAAATATTTTAAATTTTGTAAATATTGTATTGTTGTCCCGAGATGAATTTGTTCAAAGTTGCTGACAACTGATTACCTGATAATCCCACGAATACTTGACAGTCTGAGTATATGACACTACTAATAAGATTATGTACAAAATTCTGATTACTTAAGTATCACAAGGATACATGAATTAAAACTTAAATATCGCAAAGATACACTATCGAAGCTTAAACATAGCAAAGATACAGAACTTAAATATCGCAATGATACACTAACCCAGGCCGCACGGCGCGTCCTCAAAAAATGTATACTGTTGAAAAACTTGACACGTGAATAATATCGTGTGAAGGGAGCGTGTCCGTGGCGACGAGTGGCGCCGACGGCCTGGGGCGAGATTCACGAAGAAGTTATGTAAACACTTATGAACCTGTACATCTTTTCTCAATCTTTGACAGCTTTGTTTACAATTATTAAACAGTTAATGAGCTCCGAAGCACCAGGAGGCTGTTTATAACATTAACAACAGTTGATTGGCAAGTTTTCATGTTTGTAAACTGTTTAATAAATGTCACCAAAGCCATCAAAGATTGAGGAACGATGTACTTAAGTTCGTAAGTACTTGAGTAACTGCTTCGTGAATCTGGCCCCTGATCACTGCCTCTCCAGTTGAGACACCAAGCATTCCTCTAGAGACAATCATTGATCAACTAAGAATGGGTCGACACCTGAAGGGTTAATTCATCTTTTTAAGTATCCACAAGTCATTGATACGAAAGCAATTCCAAAAAAAACAAAATTGTGTGTCAAATAGCCATTCAAGACGATTTCTTGATCGTTATTTTAACTTAAAGATTTGAGTCCATAACATATAGGTCTGTAGTAAATTTTTTCATGAACCTTTTTTTTTCTCAATTATTTTTGTTTTGTTTTCAATGAATGATATTTTTAATTTGCGTGCTCAGTCTCGGTTGAAACTTGCAATAGTTTGATTTTGAGTCCTCGCTGCCACACCACGACGAAAATGGATCTGTTTTAGTGTGAAAAATGCCATACGTGGTGGTGGTGATATATTTACTTGATATACACCTCACCCATCCTCTCACTTGTCGGTGTATATATATACACTTGAGAGTACTGTACTCCAGTACCGCGCTCGAGGCTAACGTATCCACGTGCTGGTTGGGCAGTGTGCTCCTGTCAAGCATCATGTGGAGGGGGGGGGGAAGAGTTGGTAACACTTTATGAAGTCTTGACACTCTTTCCCCCCCCCCCCCACCACCACCACCACCCACCAGTGGTTCATGCCACCTGCTGACCCACCCACTGACTCCTCCACCTGAGTCATAACACCCAGCGACACCTGTTAACACCTGTCCTGCGGGTGTAACACTTCGAGACAGCCCCCGAACCACGCGTTTTTAAGACCGCTTCGTTCACTTTCACATTTTCCTGAATCACTTGCACGGGTTCCTGAATCACTTGCACGGGTTCCTGAATCACTTGCACGGGTTCCTGAATCACTTGCACGGGTTCCTGAATCATTCTCACGGGTTCCTGAATCACTCTCACGGGTTCCTGAATCACACTCACGGGTTCCTGAATCACTCTCACGGGTTCCTGAATCACTCTCACGGGTTCCTGAATCACTCTCACGGGTTCCTGAATCACTCTCACGGGTTCCTGAATCACTTTCACGGGTTTCTGAATCACTCTCACGGGTTCCTGAATCACTCTCACGGGTTCCTGAATCACTCTCACGGGTTCCTGAATCACACTCACGGGTTCCTGAATCACTTTCACGGGTTCCTGAATCACACTCACGGGTTCCTGAATCACTCTCACGGGTTCCTGAATCACTTTCACGGGTTCCTGAATCACTTTCACGGGTTTCTGAATCACCAAAAAAGTTCAAATGAGGAGCTGACAATAATTAAAGTATACAAAGCAAGCATGAACCGGCTACGAGTATGATCAGTGAGAGGTGTGGACACCCTAGGGTGTAGGGTGATCAGAAGTGTGTAGCTATCAGAAGCCTGTAGTGTTTCATGCTTGTCTGAAGTCATCAAAGTGTCCAATAAAGTTCCTGAAGTGAAGAATTTCTTGGACAAATTTAGGCTCCATGTCATCCGAGATAATTTTCTGAAAATTGGCCGCTGCTCTTGAAATGTCTTCATCATTCATCGTTGGAAATTCGACCACGGCAACCAATAATGAATGAACATTTGGATGCTTCCATGCGATGAGAAGGTGCCGAGCATAACTTGTCTGTGATCGCTATACATGTTTACACCTTATACTTAAACCTGAGATATGCAACTTAAGCGAGTATTCTGCTGATGGAGGCCCCTGAGGTATAGCCCCCTCAAAGACCCTGTCTCTTAATTCTGTACTTTTTTTTTTTTTATTTTATTTTATTTTTACATGCTCTTAATTCTGTACTGGTACCGACCCTTGCGGTACTCCACTCGTTACCTTTCCTGTCTGATAGTTCTCTGACAGTGACTTTTTTTTTTCTTTCTACTACATATTTATCTCCCTCCCCCTTCCCCCCCCACACACACACATCTCCAAGATGCAGCCAGTTGCATCTGTCTAACTCCCAGGTACCTATTTAATGTTAGGTGAACAAGCAGCATCAGGTTAAAGAAACTCTGTTCATTTGTTTCTGCCTTGACTGGGAATCGAACCCGGGCCCTTAAAAGGACTTCGACCCCAAAAAGTTTGCAGTTTGGACCTGTGTACTCACCTAGTTGTGCACCGGGGTTGAGCTCTGGCTCTTTGGTCCCGCCTCTCAACTGTCAATCAACTGGTGTACAGATTCCTGAGCCTACTGGGCTCTATCATATCTACACTTGAAACTGTGTATGGAGTCAGCCTCCACCACATCACTGCCTAATGCATTCCATCTGTTAACTACTCTGACACTAAACAAATTATTTCTAATGTCTCTGTGGCTCATGTGGGTACTCAGTTTCCACCTGTGTCCCCTTGTTCGTGTCCCACCCGTGCTAAAGAGTTTGCCTTTATCCACCCTGTCCATTCCCCTGAGAATTTTGTAGGTGGTTATCATGTCTTCCCTTACTCTTCTGTGTTCCTGGGACGTGAGGTTCAGCTTAATTAGCTTTCCTCGTAGCTCATACCTCTCAGTTGCGGGATTAGTCTGGTGGCATACCTCTGAATCTTCTCTTACTTTGTCTTGTGTTTAACTAGGTATGTACTCCAGGCTGAAGCTGTACACTCCAGGATTGGTCTGACATAAGTGTATAAAAGGTCCTGAACGATTCTTTACACAAGTTTCTAAAGGCAGTTCTTATGTTGGCCAGTCTAGCATATGCCGCTGATGATATGCTTTTGATGTGGGCCTCTGGGGACAGGTTCGGTGTGATATCAACCCCCAGATCTTTCTATTTGACTCTTGCAGGATATCACCTCCCAGATGGTACCTTGTGTTCAGCCTTCTGCTCCCTTCGCCTAATTTCATTACTTTACACTTTCTTGAATTGAATTTTAGCAGCCATTTTCTAGACAATTCCACCAGTTTGTCCATGTGGTCCTGTAGTCTGTCTATCTTCATCTGTCATGATTCTTCTCATAATGTTTCCATCAGCAGCAAACATTGAGTGTGTGTGATCCTGTGACAGTCAAGTGATCCTGTGACAGTCAAGTGATCCTGTGTTAGTCAAGTGATCCTGTGACAGTCAAGTGATCCTGTGACAGTCAAGTGATCCTGTGTTAGTCAAGTGATCCTGTGACAGTCAAGTGATCCTGTGACAGTCAAGTGATCCTGTGACAGTCAAGTGATCCTGTGACAGTCAAGTGATCCTGTGACAGTCAAGTGATCCTGTGTTAGTCAAGTGATCCTGTGACAGTCAAGTGATCCTGTGTCAGTCAAGTGATCATGTGTCAGTCAAGTGATCCTGTGACAGTCAAGTGATCCTGTGTCAGTCAAGTGATCCTGTGACAGTCAAGTGATCCTGTGTTAGTCAAGTGATCCTGTGACAGTCAAGTGATCCTGTGACAGTCAAGTGATCATGTGTCAGTCAAGTGATCATGTGTCAGTCAAGTGATCCTGTGACAGTCAAGTGATCCTGTGACAGTCAAGTGATCCTGTGTTAGTCAAGTGATCATGTGACAGTCAAGTGATCCTGTGACAGTCAAGTGATCCTGTGACAGTCAAGTGATCCTGTGACAGTCAAGTGATCCTGTGTTAGTCAAGTGATCCTGTGACAGTCAGGTGATCCTGTGACAGTCAGGTGATCCTGTGACAGTCAGGTGATCCTGTGACAGTCAAGTGATCCTGTGTCAGTCAAGTGATCCTGTGACAGTCAAGTGATCCTGTGACAGTCAGGTGATCCTGTGACAGTCAGGTGATCCTGTGTCAGTCAAGTGATCCTGTGTCAGTCAAGTGATCCTGTGTCAGTCAAGTGATCCTGTGTTAGTCAAGTGATCCTGTGACAGTCAGGTGATCCTGTGACAGTCAGGTGATCCTGTGACAGTCAGGTGATCCTGTGACAGTCAAGTGATCCTGTGACAGTCAAGTGATCCTGTGACAGTCAGATGATCCTGTGTCAGTCAAGTGATCCTGTGACAGTCAGGTGATCCTGTGTCAGTCAAGTGATCCTGTGTCAGTCAAGTGATCCTGTGACAGTCAGGTGATCCTGTGTCAGTCAAGTGATCCTGTGTCAGTCAAGTGATCCTGTGTCAGTCAAGTGATCCTGTGTCAGTCAAGTGATCCTGTGTCAGTCAAGTGATCCTGTGTCAGTCAAGTGATCCTGTGACAGTCAGGTGATCCTGTGACAGTCAGGTGATCCTGTGTCAGTCAAGTGATCCTGTGTCAGTCAAGTGATCCTGTGTCAGTCAAGTGATCCTGTGTCAGTCAAGTGATCCTGTGTCAGTCAAGTGATCCTGTGTCAGTCAGCTGGCCGCGGCCCAAGCCTGACAAGTCTTGGGCACTCATGTGACGCAGAGTACACTTGTGACGCAGAGTACACTCGTGACGCAGAGTACACTCGTGACGCAGAGTACACTTGTGA